CCATATTTGAGCATAGACGAAGATAGATCATCGAGGCCAACTGCGCTCATTATTTTTGTTGACCGTTTCTTCTGTCCGGACAACAGTCTGATCCCTTACCCTAACCGTCTTCAAGCTCCCAGAACTTGCTTTAGGCGTGAAGCATTCAGTTTTTTTCATCTGTGCACTGATTTGCAGCGTGAACTGTTTGGCAGTTGTCGTTTGGTACATCCTAAAAGCTTGTTTTCTTTGTCCATTAAGAGCCTTTGGCAGTAGAGCATACCCTGCCAGTGCGAACAAAAACTGCTTCCGTCGGACAACATCACTTTAGCTATTTCGGTAAACTGTTCAACGGAAAACCAAGAGGAGATAATTGGAAGAAATTTTCTTAGGGGTAGTCTGTTCGCTGAGAGATTCCGAATTTTTAGGTTCATTTTTTTTTGTTAGAATAACAGCGGAGTATGTCAACCGATAGTACACTGCTAGTTTAAGACGTAGGAAACAGTGATCGCCGTCAGTTCGAGAGAGGTGATATTCGGATGTTTAGTGATGGATGACCTTGTTCAAGACAGCATCTCCTCTGGGGGTGTTAGAGAGAGATCTGTTAGATAGAAAGAAAATAAAAGTTGGGTTGATCGATGATTAAAATCATCGACAATAAAAATTAACTTATTATCAACTAATGAAAGGAATAAATGCACCATATAAGGGGATGATTTCGATTTGTGAACAAAAAGAGGTAATATAGAAATGGGTAATAATTGTTTTCCGAAAAGAGGAAAACTTACGTCTACATGAAACAGTGATGTTATCAATCCCGTAACAGGAGAAGACAAACGAGGTTTCAGACTTGCCACACCAACTGGAGCTAATGTAGGTTATCAATCCGCCTCCGGTCTTCGTTTTTCTTCTTTCTCTGTCCTGTGAAAACTTAAGAAACCAGATATGTTAACCAGCAAATCCTCTATGTTTTAGTTTAATCACGATTTCTGTATGCATATCACACCTGTTTATGTGCACGCAATAAGTTAGCAGATCAGTGAGGTCAGCCAATTTGCTAAACAGTTAACGAATTGGAATTGACCTGTGAGGGAATCGATATCTTCACAGGAGGAACGGTTTGCCACCCGGCACTTTAGCGCTTCTTACTCCAATCAGAAAATCCATGTGAGCCAGATGACAGAATAGTCATGAATTATCCTTTAATCGTAGGAAAAATTCCCCGGGATACGAACTTAAGGTGAACATAGTGGGAAACAGGCAATGCGAAAGTGAACACACACGTAGCGCAGCCAATCGAAGGATACGCCACTGATTGCAACCGACCCAAAGTCCATTATTAATTGTGTGCTGGTAAATCAGTTCAACAATTTTTCACCATAACCGTCATTCTCTAACTTTTAAGTTCGAAACCCGTCATCTCGCCACTCATTTGGTAGTTAATAGTTCCTCTTTCATCTAACTCAGTAGAAAATACATTCTATGGGTACTGTGTGCTTCACACAATTTTCAAAGAACTCGGTTACCATTCACCTCATTTGGAGATCATTGCATTTATTCCCTGTACCATTTATTATGTTAAGGTTTATAATAAAAGGATGAAGAACGCGAGGTGGTGTAAATAGCCTTGTTACATCACTTTAATCCCAAAGTGGTCCTATGAAATCAGCATACCATAGGCATCTTTGATTGCAGTGTGCAAACAAAGTGTGGTCGAATACACGATCCTACCCGTGACTATTAAAAACTGCAAAATTCTGTCGTTATTTGGTCATTTTCATAGCTTGCCCTGTGCATCCAATTCATGTCAGTGGTCTTTTTTAGTCATGGGCAGGGCCTTATGCATGCAAGCAGTGATTTGCGCTTCTGCTTATTCTTTTTCCCTTGGGGTAATTTTCCCATTTACTTATCCATTCGCCTAATTTGAATAAATTGCTTTCAAATCTGTTTTATTTTTCTTTGAGTTAACTACTTTCAATCGAAAAGTCTGCATCAGTTTGAATTCATCGCGCTTTTGACTCAATTGCACCGTCTGTCCTTTCCGATTCACAAACTCAGATACTTTCGGGTTCGACAGTTTGTCATTTCCACTTTTCTCCCACAGCGTGTTACTCAGTTAATCCTATGTTATCCCCCAGCTATTTTGCTTGATTTATGCAAAGAAGAATTCACAGCTTTGCATCGTGGTCTTTCGATAATCAGTCGTATCTAAGACCTTCCCCTCTATCAACTACGCCTAGAGTTATGTGACTTAGATATGGCTTCGTATGAAAGGTTTGCTTTGAAGATTGTTGACGGCCTTCCGCCTCAACTGCGTACTGATCTTTTGAAATGTGGTTCTCACATCATTGCTTCTTTCAACTATTATTTCATGCAGAAGTTCCCTTGTTTCGAATTTAGCGCTTGCACTTGCCGACAGGACCAAGGTGACCAATAAGTTATATGCTGTTCTTAGACCGAGAACTTGTAATATTCCCAACTTAACCAGTTTACTTGTTTCTTTGTGAGCTGCCCTTCTATGATCAGTAAAAACACTTTGTAACTTAAGTGCTTGCAAAAGTTCTGTACACACAAATAGTGCACAAACTGCCAGTAGAACATGGGTCGCGTCTGCTCCACTCTGCAGTCTAACCTCAAGATCCTGCCTCACAGATGATGAGATTTAAAATGAAGTACAGATGACTGGTGTATCGAGCAACTACTTGGTTTCGAATCGTTCCCCGTAAGTTTATGAGTAGCGAATGGATGGGCGTTTTTTTGACACCGATCGTGAACACGTGGGTTTATGTTGGCTTTGCTTGTTCTTTTCTTCCTAATACATACAGATTGTGATGAACACTAGAACGGTTGAAACCAGTAATAACGTATACCTGCTGTTCAGTTATTCAAACTCATTACTTGGAATAGAGAAGTGTTCCAAGAGGTTGATGCACTCATCGGAATCAGGAGGGGGAGGCTTCCGCCATGACAGAAGTTGTATGGACTAGATGTTGCATGCTAGATCACCTCCACCAACCAACTACACTTTCGAGTAACGTTCAACTCAAGCAATCCTGCGTATCTCTGGGCCCTAATCAAGAGTAATGAAACACCTGGCAGTATAGTAATGCTCCAAAAACACTACTATTTGATCAACAGCGCAAGAGTCCTCATGCATGGCGAAGAACTTCAATCTTCCCACTCAGTACCGGATTCAGACAAAACTGGATTGGATCATGAGACAGATACTGACCAGTTACCGTGGTTTGAATGGCTTATCAAACCATGAGTCCGTGGACGATGGTCTTTCTGGGAGACTCACCTACTACACCAGTTAGTCCCAGAGCGCATCTTCTTTTCCTCGACATCCATCGGTTTGGAGCCGAATGCATTGAAAACTATGTTAGTATGAACTTCCTGGGGACTCTCAGCTCAGCAGTTCTTCTTCATTGGTTAGCCCATCGAAAGTGTACCGTTGTTCAAGTACCTAAGCTCCACCATACTGTCGAACGACCAAAAAAAGAATATAGTAAATAAATGAATGTCATGATGTTCGGTTGTTCGCCGACCGTGGTAATTGTATTGCAAACATTTCATCATCAATCGAGGTGACATTCTCAATGCAGTAACTGCCACGGGTATCTGATTTTGATTGTAGGTGCTTATGTGGTTTAGCACTTTGAGGTTGACCTTTCTGACCGTGAATTTTAGCTGTTCACCACAAAAAATGGCGTGTAATAAAAGGTTTCATTAATCCGTTTATAGACTTTTTATTCGTCCTCCGAACTTCAAATCATACATATGTCATAACTTTTTTCAGAGTCTGCCCCTCCTTTGAAATCATAACCTCCTCCATCCGTTCGGTCTATCCTTTCCCGGCTCCCATGGCCGTCTATGACTATATTGACTCGCTTTCCACGCACACGTTGTTCATACATGCGGCAATTGTATTTCACAGGGACTTATTTGTTTATCATTCTCGCACTTTCATGTGGTTGATCGAATTACGCAAACAAACACACGCACATGCGTGTTTCAACTCTTCAGTCATTCCAAAAACACAATTGGTCACAGTTTGCATGAAAAATAACAAATAAACAATTGTTCTAATTTATTTTGTTCACAACCTGAGTTAACTGACAAAAGTACTGATTTGGACCAAGTGATGAGCTATGCACCCATGAAGTTCCGGCATTGTGGACTCTGTACGCCAGATTAGATAAATCTGATTCTTGGATTTTTCGCCCTGCGTTTACCGTTTGTCAGGCTGTTTGGCATTGCAATGTGTGTCAGTGTTTGACAAGTGAAATGGGTACCATTGCAATCATCTGTTCCCGTGCCACCCTAACGTGGCTCTTTTCTCCCCCCGCCCCGCCCCCTCTCCCGTCACTCCACTCTTTTATCCAAGGTCGAGTATTCATCTCACGGGTGTGAACAAAGCATTTGGTAGACTGAACTTCCGTTGTGTGTGTGAAGGGTGGAGGTGCATTCCGCGGCTCAGATGGATCAAATTTTTGTCTTATTGAACGAATACATGTGAAATTACCACCAGCGCTCCCCTTCCACCTCCCCATCAGCGTGCGCACCTGATCGATCAAGTTTCTCCCCTCCCCCCCCCACCCCGAGGAAGTTAATCACCAAGCTCCTCATCTTTTGCATTAAAAACAACCCATTTGACTGAAATGAACAGACTGCCGTGGAACTTTCAGTTGTGACGCCTAGATAGACAGAGAGGACGGTTAAAACACATCTTGAAGTGGTGTAACTGTCACAATTTATAGGCGTTGAAAATGTGTGTGTGTGTGTGTGTGTGTGTGTGTGTGCATGCGCGTTTATGTCAGATACTACGGCTGTACCCGCTCGTCCAATCTAAGAAACGGAAGTGTACAACTACCCCAGGAAGCTTTTTGTGGGGTGAACATATTTTCCGTGTATTGTGTGTGCACACACGCACTCGTCAGGACAAAGTGCTTTTTCTCAAAGCCTAAAAAAATTTATATCCAATATCCAATGAGAAGTGAAACAGTATACTCACTATAGGAATGTTTCAAGTTTTACGTGTTGCACTTCCAGGTCGTCTGTTGGTCAAAGCGCGCGTTTCAAGTACTATGTATGTATCCGGTGATCACTTATGTAGGTAGGTAGAGATTGTGAGAAGTGTAGATTTGAAATTGCAATAAATCGATTTCCAAGTGGTTGGATTAAGCTTTGTACAATGAGAATACTATATGTTTTAAATACTATTCAGGAAGCGTTTGTCTCATCAAGTAGAATATGACATTTTGTTCCCCTTTGGTTTACCCGTATCTCTGTGATTGAGACAAACTCCCAGCTGTGCTTGATACTAACCGTGTGATCTGTTTTCTATTGTTTCTCGCATCGTCTGTAAACGGCTTGAGAATGAATTATGGAAAAACAGTGGCTTCGCTAATCTGTGTTCTTCTAAGAGGTATCTTTCAAACTGAGCAAGATATTTGCAACCATCTACACGATTTCAAACCTGAAATTACTGACGTTGATTGTTAACCTTTCATTCTAAACTCCATGATCTCGTTTTGAATCGGAAGATTTTGAACAGATAGACGCGTAATAAATGGAACAGAATGCGGTTCAACGTTGTCGAATATCATAAACCGTGTTAACTGATTGATCCCCCCCCCCGGCTCGGCGTGTGGATGTCGAACTCAAAACTCTGACAGGTAGCTTATCCCCGAGGTAGCTACGCAGCTGAACGGATTGTTTCACTTTATCCATGATTACTGTAACAACCGGCGTTCACCAGTTGTTTGCATAACACGTTTAAATTAATCCAGTTGAGTTAGGTCCTTTTCGGATGCCATAATCCCATGTCACATGTCGCCTAATAATACCAACAATGAGCCTTGATTAAGCTGGAACTTGCAACACTGTTTCCTAATTTACAGGAATAAATACGGGTAAACATAAATGTGGTACTCTTTTAGTAACACTTTCCAAAATTGTCAGACACTTTCTATCCATTACCGTTCATCATTACTTATGAGTAGTGATGTGGGGCAAATAATGGTGGCTGTTGAATGCCCATCCTTCAGTCCTCATATTTACGCATTCCATTCCATTGACACAACTAGTCACTCGAGAAGCTCCGGAATGGATTTTCATTCTGATTAGAATTCTTCGACTTTTCGTAACCCATAATCCGTCTGTCATTTGAACCCCAGACTCCTTGCATGAAGAGCATATACCAGCCAGTTCACACTGGAGCGAATCAGAATGGCGAATTTAAGTTTGATCACATTTTGTCTTCAGAATTATGCGTCAGGATGGTTTCTGAAAGATGGTCAATCAATTTATGCTTCGTTTAGTTTCCTCAATCGGGCAGCGGTTATCTACACAAAGTTATGAGTTCTTATCAGTCCATTTTAAATGAAGACCAGGTGTGGGTTGTGATCGACTACGTGGAACTGCATGATTTGTGAACTGTAGCGTCAAAATACATTTGAATTTTCAAATGCTATGATTTAATGGGTTGAATTACAACCCGTCTTTTTAATCCGAATGTCTTTGGAATATCATTTTAAGATAATGGTTTGGATTTCCCATAATGATCATTTATTCAGCAACGTTTTGGTTCTCGTTATCAGCTGAGCTCCACAATTCGTCTCATTCATTCCCTATGGCAATTGTGCAAAGAAGCAGTCATCGTAAGCCTCCGGAAATTTCTGTTACGTCGCAAAAGTAATGCGTTTTCTTGGTTTCTTTGACTCGGACTGGAACCACAATCCCGATTCAATTGATTGATATTAGAGATGCGCGTGGACCTGGGAGTACGCATTTTTGATCATCTCAGAACTGCATCTTGTGCATAACCTGCTGTTTCGTAACCACTGCATGTGGGCCCACTGTTTTTCGAGCCCAGAACTATTCGAATTCAACTTTGAATCGCCTCTTTCTCTCTCTCGTGCACGCGCGGGTCATTCGGATTATATCATGCGCGTAATCTAGCTAAATCACTGTCATCAGTCTCACAATATGCCTCAGTATGGTCCTCTACTTTATCCTAAGCTCCAATAATATATAATCGTTTGATTTCTGCAAACACATTATGCAACATCTGTCATAAATATTTTATTACAACTTTATTAATTGAATCTCATTCTGTTCCCAGTCTTATCAACGACACCGACGATGATGTAACGGTGATAGAAGATCACACCGGTTCACAAATTGTTTCTGTTCATCTGTGAAGAATAAACGTAATCATTAGTTTACACCCCCAACTCAATTTTTCTGGTCTCCGAGGGACGAAAGAAAACACGAGTGCATCTTCCCATCGGAATACATTTACGGATGAATAGTATGATCGTATTTGAATACTTCCTGTGTTTTTGGTTGCTTTCGAGTCTACAAAATAGGTGTGGTTTTCATCTGGGATCCGCGGAGCAAACCGGTAGGGTAGAGAGGTGAATAATCGTTTGATATCGCCGACCCACTCTGCGGGCGGTAGCCAAAACTGGATTACCTATTGACCCACACACATTTAGCTGTTCGTTGAGCTCCTCGCATGGAATCAGCAAGGGCGAGTTTTTAGTCGGGACAAAACCCCTTCCTTTCATTCCCTTTCAGCGTCCATTTCCGCTTGCAAGTATATTAAATGAAACCACTGAGGTGAAAATGACTGAAATGTAGGCTTTACGCCTACAAAAGTTATGACCACCGTACAAAACACTTGCGTGTCTTCAATTTGCTCTAGTTGCACTATGAATTCTCGAGTTTGTGAGTTATGCAACAACAAATGTTCGAGCTATGCCCTATCTGTGTTTAGTGTATTCCGCTCCTGGACAAACAGACAGTTGTTCAAATGTGGATCATTTAGTCACCTCCAGAATTGACTGAAATCTTTATCCACATAGTCACTCGTTTTCACCAGATTGTATCCTGTCTGGTGTAACAAAAAGTGGTTGTCCTGTTTCGTTCTATTTTCTGTACGCATCCTTAAACCCCCACGCTCGTTTTTTTTGCACACTCCTCACCCCGTGATATTTATTCATCCTGTCCATGGGTTTACTCAAACCTAGCAACCAAAACTAGCACACTGATGTGGAAGTCCTCATTGATTGTCCAATGGGTTCTCTAGTTGTTGATCGACACCTGTGTACAAGAGAATTCTAATTCCTCATCATCATTGTCATCATTGTCTGACCTGACCCTACTTAGAGATTCACTTGGATTTGTTTCAGGTGATCTGTGTGCGTTGTGTGAACGAACGAGCACCAAAACCCCTCCCCCCTCTCCCGAAACACAAAAAGAACTCACCGCTTGTCGAATTTGTCTCTCGGTTTCAACAAGCAGATCACACTTGGGAATTTGAATTGCACGTGCCTGAGACAAATCACATGCATCCACTCCTGGCCCATACTCGTTCATAATTATATTCTCAGTCGCTGTCGGATGAACAGTGATGCAACAGTACTTCTGGATTAGATAATCAGATCAGTGTCGGCTGGCCGACCTCTTTCGCCTCTCTGGTCATTCGAGGGGAACTTAATTCGCTCACGGCATTTTCACCCGGAAAGTAGCTTATCTGGAGGTACTCTCAAATCGATCCATTCTTTCTTCTGATTTCAGTTGCCTTTTGCTTGTCCGTGTGTTATTCATGTCTTTCTTTCGAATTTCTGTAACACACTTCGAATCTTGATCACGTCTTTTGCATACAATTTTCATCCCTCCTGACAGCACCCGCGTCCGGAATTATCACTCATTCGTCCCATTCCGCTGCCAATCTAACCAATATGTCCTCTGTCTCCAGTAGTTTGTCCAAACTATCGGATTCCGTGCTACCAAACAACAACACAGGTGGATCAAATACCGGTCCTCAACCAATCCCGTTTCCCGAATCCTTCTTGCCCCGAGGTACATCGGGTCCAAATGGTTCGATCATTGATTTCCAGACTGAATGGCTAGAGATCGCATTCGCACCGAATGCCCTGACCGATCCGAATTCGGGTCTGACTAACAACGCACCATCAAATAAGACGACTGTGATATCGGATCATACAAGTGAACTCCGGTCCACCGTCCTACAAAATACCAGTATCACAGACAAAACAGGTCCTCAAGGTAATGCTGGTGACTGGTCAACGACATAAATTTAGTGCCCCATGTTTTGTTTGTTTTGTTATCAAGTGTTGTGTGCGCGAACAACCATGTGCAGTGTCCAACACCGAAGACAGTGTCGGACAATAAATGCGCATATTTAGTCGCACGNTATCTTGAGTTGCGCGCATGCTAGAATGATGGATTTCGATATTCCCTGTTGGTCATATTTGTGGAATTATTATACTACTGTTACTTCTAATGTTGGGCACGTTTTCATCGTTCAAACTCCTACAACTTATTTGTGTCCTGATAACGGTCTTCCCGTTAATGATCCTTTTATCAGACGGGGATTCAGTGCATCGAAAAAGCTGTATCTGTGATCTGGATGACGCAACCGTTGGGGATCGGGCCGAGTGGACACATTGTGTTTACGATGCCACCTATCATCCGTTGTGTGCATTCACCATGGAATTGCAATGGTTAGTCGCCAGTGGAAGTCGACTAAACGAACTGGTACGTACAGCAAAATGTGCTTTCGGGGGGAAAAAAACCTGGACTTACACCTTTTAACTGAATGAAAGCGAATGTCTGTTCAATTTTGTCCGTTGCGTTGGTTGTTAATAGGTAAAATAGTTCTGTGACTTTGCCTCATTCACTGCTTTAGTAACAGCAAGCATAAACAATGGTTGATTAAAACTGATACCTTTCGGATTTTGATAGGTAAACAGATGTAAAACAGACAACATTTGTTTGGCCTTGCATCTCGCTTTGGATATGCATAGGCACGAGTTGCCTCCAAGCATGGGTTCGAATCCTGCGGAGGATTTTGTAGTTTTTTTAATCACTGGACTTTTCTACATATGTATTTCAGAATCTGAAATACTACGAAATATTGATGGGTTACCTCGCGCACGATTTTTCAGCGACCGCAATTCGGTAGATAGTGATTATCTATTTTGCAGATTTCTATCGCTGCATACGATAAGAACCAATCCGAAGCAGACACATACAATAGATCCAGTTTTCGAGGGTGGATCATAGAGTCGTCTTTGTTTGCACCATTCTTTAATCTCATCATCTTATGAATATATCGTGGGAACCAATTCACTGTGAAAATACCACATTGATTTCTTTAAAGGGATTTGTTGCACACCGACGTACACGTACGTTAGTATTTGTCATCACTATCCCATGATAGATAACAGTGTAAAATCTCTTTGGAGCATGCACTTCCCACTTCGGTTTTCTCTTCGGGCATTTTATCTACTTTTGAACTTTTTCCACAAATTTGGGGTTGCAGAAATATCACTGAGTATTCTACTGCGGCAGTTGATTAAACTGTTCAAAATGTCTGTATTATTCGTTACCTTCGCCGTCCCCGGAAGAAGAAAATGAAGAGGAGTCGCGTTAGACAGTCCAATGGTTTATTAAGTTACATCTTAGTCGAACTGAGAAGATCGTACGAATAACTCGTAGGCTTCGAACGTTAGCACACGCTTCGTCTCCTGCATTATGGCTCGGGTTTTAGCTAACCAAATGCTTCACTTACAGGTACCCCCCTCCCTTAAAAAAAGGTTTGCCTGCTTTGGCCTGAACAGCCTGACATTATTCCGCCTACGAACAAATCATGAACTGTTTGTGATAACCGACAAGGAGCACTAGACAGCTGTTTCGTCCTGTTTGGGTCTCATCAACATTGCCTCTGAACAATCGAATAGGCTAATTCA